ACACACACACACACACACACACACAGTGTCCCTTCAACTGCTTTCAAAAGGGGCACACAATCTTCAAGTTTCAAAATGAAGCATGAAATTCATAATTTCTTAAAACAAGACCATACTTACAATGGAAATAAACAGATTTACAGGATCTAATAAATCCATCCACTGAAGAAATCTTCGAAAAAAAGACTGAAGGGGGGGAGCACCAAAGAGTAGGTTAAAACAAACATACAGACATACGTTGGGAGCTGAACTGGGGAGGCAGGCCCTGTTGGTGGTTCACCTTTTACCAGAATTCTCTCCTCTAACCACATGGCATAAAGATTCCCTTGAGGATTAAACTCAGTCTTCAGGATTCAAATGTGTCTACACTGATATCCCTGCATAGCCTCAAAAGCCTGGGAGCCTTCCCTGGCTTTCCTTGTTGCTCTAAGGATTAACTTAGTGAGGAGACACTCTAGCAACCGCTCAGCCAGGGGCCAAGGCTCGGCTCACAGATGGAGAAAGGTGTGGTCTGCCCTAACAAACCACCCATTTTCCTCCATCCAGCTTTAAGGCCTGGCTCTTCAAAGACCAGCTGAGCCCCTGCTGCACTCTCTCCACAAACAAGGGAGGCCCTACCTAGGTCAAGGTCAATCCGGTCAGCTCCACCGGGGTATGGAGCATATGAAATGGGGTCACGCTGAAGGTACAAGATACACGCTGTGCTTTACAGTCTTTGTAACTAAAAAAGGGTGGAAAAGATGTTTTTTAGATTACGTGTTGAAATGCTATTTGGCATTGGCTGGACTAAGTCTATCGTTTCAAGATTAACGTCAGTGTGTCTTAAAATCTTTTGAACGTGGCTACTAGACACATTGAAATTGCCGCTGTGGCTCCAAGATTTCTAAGCACAGTGACTTCCGGAGCACTGGTGGCTGAGGCTATCATAGGAGGAGGCGTGGAGGACCCGTTCCACCCCTCAGTACCGCCCAGCGAGGGCAGAACTCAGCAGTGGGGACCACCACATGACGGTGACCTTCTCCAGCCCAGCCCGGGGCCTAAGGGATGCGCGGCATCCGCCGCCCTGGCATTGGCAAATCTGGGCTTCCCCCGTGGTCCCCTCGGGGAGCCTGATGGGGGGGCGCGGGATGCTCGCTCCAAGGGCATCTCGGGTGGAAAGGCAGGGATGCGCAGGGCAGCCACGTGGCCCGGCCTCCCCGCGCCCGGTGCACGCCCTCCTGCCCCCAGCGCCCCCAGCGCGCCTCCCGGGCGTACTTGGCGTTCCGAGATCCCGAAGCGCAGATTGGGCTCCATGCGGGTGGCCGTGCCGGGGGTGGCCGCAGGCCGGCGCTTCCTCCTCCTCTACCCGGAACTTACTTGGTGGCCATGACGGACCCGCTGGCCGAGGAGGAGGAGCCTGGCGGCTCGCCCCGCCCACCCGCGCTCCCGAGTCCCAAGTCCCCGCCCCCGGGTCGGTGCTTGGGCTGTTCCGGCTCTGCCTAAGGCCATGACCTTCCTGCACTGCTCTGATCCATAGCTTCCGGGTCCAGAGGGGTCGCCTGTGGAACCCGCACATCACAGTACTACTGGGAAGACCCTGCACCCTGAGCTTCAGCCGTCTTAATGATGCACATCATCTGAAGCATTTGGGTGCTCATTACCACTACTAAATACTTCACAGCCTGGGTTGGTCATTTACGTGATATGTAATGACCTTTCCTTGTCTTGCACAAACCCCTAAAATTAGTACAATTACTATTCCAACTTAACAGATGAGAAAATAGAGCGGCTGATACTGACTTGACCAACCCATGCTGGGCCCTTAGGAAGTATTTAGTAGTGGTAATGAGCACCCAAATGCTTCAGATGACTGCTGTTGTGCTGTCACCTGGCTCACTTTGCTATAACCTTCAGTAGTTCTCCAGGAAGCACTTCCTAGACCCCTCAGCTGGGCAAGGTGGGCCCTTCTCAGTATGCTCATTATGCCCAGAAGTACATGTGTGGCACCAAAGTATTCAGCGCACTGCCTTGTCCGGTTGACTGCCCCCTCCAGTTAGTCACAAACCCAGCTGGCCCTGTCTGCCTCCTGAGAACCAGAGTGAGCCTCTAAACGCAGGTTACTGTCCCTCTTCGTTTTGCAGGGAAATGAGGGGAGGTTGAGATAAGGTCTCATGATGTAGCTCAGGCTAGCCTCGAATCGATGATCCCCCCCTACCACACACACACACCTAGAGGAATGAACTGCCATACCCAGCTTGTCACTCTTCAAAATCTTCCAGACGGTTCCCTATCACACACAGAATCCAGTGCTTAGTTAGTTGGGGAAGCTCCATGACCCCTACTGTCCCAGTCCACTTTCTTTCCAGTCCTTCCACCCCAAACTCTCTCTTGCCTCTGGGCCTTTGCGCTTGTCATACCTCCTGCCTGGAAGACCCTTACTCCTCTTTTCTACATACCTTCTCTCATCTCACTTAAAAACCCCTAGATACAGTTGACTCCATTTAACAGATGAGAAAATAAATCCAGACATCACCTCTCCATAAGGACTTCACCGATAACCCTACTCAGAACTCTGCTCCAGCCCCTGAAGCCACCTTATTTCCCTTCCCAACACTCAGGGTATTTCTACCATTTACTGGGCTTCCCCTCTAAAATCGAGTGCATAAAACTGTAAGTTTAGGGTCTGGAGAGGTGGCTCAGAGGTTAAGAACACTTGTAGTTCTTTGCAAGGGACTGGAGTTCAGTTCCCAGGACCGAACATCCGGTCCCTCAGGACTGCCTGTAACTCCAGTTCCAGATCGGACAGTCTCTCCTGGCATCCTTGGACACCTGCACACCCCTGCACACATACATACATTCAGGCAGGTGTAAAATAAAAGACAGGAGTTTGGCTTTTCTTCACTCCTATGCCTCCAAAGGTGTACCTGGCACGTTGGCACTCCAGGATCTACCAAAACAATGAATGAAAGTTTCTCTAAGTCTTGCCTGCTAAATGAGTTCGCAGAGTGGAGCCAGCATCCTACTCACCTGTGTGGCTCCAGAGGCAAATGCCCAATAAGTATGTTAAGAGAAGGAATAGCGCCTCAGAATAAACTGAGTAGTGGTAATGAGCGCCCATTTGATAATGGTAACAAAATTTGTGGCTAAGAAATGGCTTAGCAGTTAAGAGTACTGGCTGCTCTTGCAGAGGACCAGGGCTCATTTCCCAGCTCCCACATGGAGGCTAACTGTACAGTTCTAGGGGCTCCAATGCCATCCTGTGGTCTTTGTGGACACTGCACAAATGTGGTACACTTACATGCAGGCAAGACACTCATATACATTGTGCTGGATAGCTTTAGTTGTCGGTACCCGTGGGTAGAGGGGCCTCATTGGACTGGCCTGTGGCCATGCCTGTGGGGTATTTTCTTGATTTTTGAGTGATGTCGGAGGGCCCAACCCACTGTAGGCGGTGCTACCCCTGGGCAGGTGGTCCTGCATTGTATAAGAAAGCAGGCTGAGCACAGGCCAGGGGAGCAAGCCAGTAAGCAGCATTACTCCAGGGCCTGTGCTCCAGCTCCTGCCTCCAGGTTCCTGCCCTGAGTTCTTACCTTGAGCTCCCTGATGAACTGTGACCCAGGAGATGTAAGCCAAATAAACCCTTTCTTCCCCAAGTTGGTATTGGTCACAGTACTTTGTCACAGCAACTGAAGGATAACTAAGACACACGTAAAATAAAAATGCAGAGCTGGAGAGATGGCCCAGCAGTTAAGAGCACTGGCTGCTCTTGTAGAGGACCCAGGTTCGGTACCCAGTACCTACATGGCAATTAACTCCAGTTCCAGGGGATCCAATGGGCTCTTCTGACCTGCTCAGGAATTGCATGACATGGGTGCACTTAAATACGTGCAGGCAATACACTCATACACATAAAAATGAAATAAAAATATTAAAAATGCAAACATTTTATTTAGGGGTTTTGTTTTGTCTTTTTGAGACAGGGTCTCCCTGTAGCACCAGCTAGCCTGGAACTCACTATATACACTAGGATGGCCTTGAACTCATAAATATCCACCTGCCCCTGCTTCCTGAGTGCTGGGATTAAGGGCGTGCGCCATCATGCCTGGCAAAAATGCAAACATTTAAAAATTTATTTATGCTAAATTTAAATACAGCATAAAAATAAATGAATTTATTTTTACACCCAGCACTTTGAAGAAAATGATTATGGTGTTTTAAAAATTCAATCCCTGGGTTAAACACATCTCCTTCATAATTACGCCTTATCAGTATCTCAGAATACACAGAGTTACTAAGTCAGTAATGAATACAGTGAGTAAAATAATATGTAAACTCTCAGGGACAGGGACCATGCATGACTGTTTCAGTCACTTTACCACCATGTTTTTAATGACATGATTCACATGTATTTCCATCACACATACATTCAAGAGTTAACTTAGACTACTGATGCTAACATGTCAAAGCATGACTCTTGTCACACTAAGGGGAAGTTCAGTTTCATACACAGAAATTCAAGAAGAAATTTCAGGACCTGGATCAGAAGCTTTCAGAGACTGTGACTTCAGAGGAGAAGGTTCAAGGCAGGCTAAGAAGAAGAGTGTTTACCTCTGAGAACATGATCTGAAAAATAGGACCAGATATTCTGTGGGAACTTGCTCCCAAGTAAGGAGGCCTATGAACTCAGCTAGCCACCTTGAGAAGACTTAGCCAGTGTTATAAACTATGGAAAGTGGTATTTATAAGGATAAGCATGATTAGGTTTTGCCTCTATAAATAATCTTCCAAATGCTGAAAGGGTTCCAGCTGTGGCTCTTTTCTAGCACGAGAAGCTGCAGGTGAACACTGGACACGGGATGAGCTACTGATGAACCTTCTCAAAGTACTCTTTGGAAGCCGCAGGACTTGGCTTAATCTGGAAATTTAAAACAAAACATTAAAGTGGATGAGAGTGGCTTTATGACAGTAGACTCAACAGTGAGCTGAAAGCTCCCAGTTTTTAACTCAACTTTACCTTTCAAAGATTGGCCTGTCTTGTCCAAAACATTTGGCTGGAAGTTAACTAGCAGGCCCCCATCCCATCACCCACCCACACTCAGGAAGCACCCCTGTAGGCTCCCTTGGTAGACTATCCTGGAAGTAGAGAAGACCACAGATGACCTTCAGTGAGTAAAATAATATGTAAACTCTATCAGGGACAGGGACCATGCATGACTGTTTCAGTCACTTTACCTTAAATACGTGCAGGAAATACACTCATACACATAAAAATGAAATAAAAATATTAAAAATGCAAACATTTTATTTAGGGGTTTTGTTTTGTCTTTTTGAGACAGGGTCTCCCTGTAGCACCAGCTAGCCTGGAACTCACTATATACACTAGGATGGCCTTGAACTCATCAATATCCACCTGCCCCTGCTTCCTGAGTGCTGGGATTAAGGGCGTGCGCCATCATGCCTGGCAAAAATGCAAACATTTAAAAATTTATTTATGCTAAATTTAAATACAGCATAAAAATAAATGAATTTATTTTTACACCCAGCACTTTGAAGAAAATGATTATGGTGTTTTAAAAATTCAATCCCTGGGTTAAACACATCTCCTTCATAATTACGCCTTATCAGTATCTCAGAATACACAGAGTTACTAAGTCAGTAATGAATACAGTGAGTAAAATAATATGTAAACTCTCAGGGACAGGGACCATGCATGACTGTTTCAGTCACTTTACCACCATGTTTTTAATGACATGATTCACATGTATTTCCATCACACATACATTCGAGAGTTAGCTTAGACTACTGATGCTAACATGTCAAACTATGACTCCTGTCACACTAAGGGGAAGTTCAGTTTCATACACAGAAATGCAGTGAGGACTTTGAGGAAAATAACGTACCGTAGGAGAATCAGGAGTCCAGTTGGCTGGGCAGACTTCTCCATGGGTCTCCACAAACTGGAATGCCTTCACCAAACGGAGGGTTTCTTCCACGCTGCGGCCCACTGGGAGGTCGTTGACACTTAGATGCTTGATGACACCATTGGGGTCAATTATGAAGAGACCTCTGCACAGAATTTCTCATTAGCACCTCAACAGTACCAAAGCCAACAGCCCTCTCTAACTCCAGCCTCAGGAGATCCCATACCCTCTCTAGCCTCTGAGGGCAACTATACCCTTGTGTACATACCTCCATACAGAAACACATGGATAAACATAATAAAGAATAAATCTTTAGACTCTTAAGTAATGACAGGACTGAAGCAGGCCACCACAGAAAGCATACAATATGGGCACATTGCAAATTTCAAAACTGTGCCCCAAATGTCATAGGTATCTAAAAGGACTGAACTAGAGAGACTAAAGACCTTTACTCATTGATGATTTGGCAAGCAGGAAGTCAAGCTCCCCAGTCTCTCCTTCGCTCCTGTTCTCGTGTATCAAAATGACAGCGGAGGCCTCTCTTCCCATGTCTCCCAGGGAGCCTGCAGCTGAACATGGGACTGCAGAATCCCACAGAATTAGAGAGCATAGAAAACACAGGCTGCCAACAGCTGCCCAGAGCTGTGCCCCCAATTGTCTCACCAGGCTAATCCTCCACATCCTGCGAAGATTCACCCTTATTTTAGTTATGGGAAAAGCAGGTCTCAGAGAGTAAGTGTTCCTTAGGAGCCAACAACCTTGTTTTTATAAGACAAGGTCTGGGACCTGGAGCTTGCTGATTAGACTAGACTGGGTGACCAGTGAGTGTGGGGTGCTTCTTGTTTCTGCCTCATAGCACTGGATTACAAGTGCACACCACCGAGTCCAGTTTTTATTGTGAATGCTGGAGATCGAATGCAGGTCCTCATGCTTTACCCAGCAAGCACTTTACTGACTAAGCCATCTCCCGAGCCTGTGCTAAGTTTCATAAGATGCTACATTCTTTTTTTAATATTATTATTTTATGTGTATGTGTGTATTGCCTGCATGTAGGTAAGTGCACCCGTGTCGTGCAATGCCTGCGGAGGTAAGAGGAGGCTGTCGGATCCCCTGGGACTGGAGTTACAGACAGTTGTTAGCTGCCATGTGGATGCAGAGAATTGAACCCGGGTCTTGTGCAAGAACAGTCATGTTCTTAACTGCTGAGCCATCTCTCCAGCCCCGAGATTTTACATTCTTTATGTTTCCCTAAAAGTATCCCAGGATGAAGTTTTGCTCATTAGCTTGAGCACTATTTTGATTTAATAGCTAAAATACTAAATAACTAACCATACTCAGTGATACATATTTTAAAATATGGATATCATTATACACAACACAAAACTGTACAAAATTTGAAATATTCTGGTACTTCCTCTTCTTTAAAGAACTAGTAGTGGAGCCTGAGAGGGTGGGTTCCGACCTCCAGACAGCCATTGGTGGTGTAGCAGCTCTGATCAACAGACCGCCAGAGCTCCGAGTTCTGGCCTCCCTCTGGCCTCTCTCTGACAGGGGGGCTGAGAACGCAGGCAACTGCCTGAGAGCCCCTGATCCTGCCTCCACGTGGTGGTGAGCTTCACCTAATTGTGCCATACCTACCCCCCTACCTGGGATGTTGTGAGGCCCCCCACCAAGGCCCCAGGGCAGATCTGGCTTTGGTGTAGGCAAAGGCTGAGATCCTAGAAGACAACCTGAGAGGGTGGACTGACTGCCAGAGAGCACCCAGATCCTGCCTCCACATGGTGAAGGAAGCCTGAGTGTACCTGACTGGAACCTGAATTGGGCTTCTGTGGGTAGCCCTGAATAGCTGATCTGAAGCCATCAGTTCCCTTCAAATTAAACCTGAGAGAATCTGAACCCTGTACCAACCAGCTTTACATGACCAATAAAGAAAGCATCTAGGCACCCCGATAATACAAACAGAAGCATACTTCAACTTAATTCTCATATCAGAATCATAAATGACAAAAGAAATTCACATGCCAAAATCACAACGAAATAATAATAAAATGGAAAGCCAAAACTCTACATCCCCACCAAACTCCACCAATCCTGAGGAAGAGCTCTACAAGGAGAACCCCCTAGAGATAACCCAGGACACAGAATTTAAAAGAACAATCATAAACATCATCAAGGGATTCAACGAATTTAAAGAACACATGAACAAACAAATCAAAGAACTAAAAGAAGATAGGGATAAACTTCTGAATGAATTCACAAAAGAGACAGAAACACTGAAGAAAACTCGGGCAGAAATGAAGAAGGAAGTGCAAAACTCAATAAGTCAGCTTGAAACAACAGGGGAAAGCCTGACCTCTAGAATGAATGAAATGGGAAACAGAATATCAACACTGGAGGTACAGAGAACAGAGACAGAAACAACTATATCCCAGGGGCAACAAAAGAAAATAAATAAAGGTATAATCAAGGAAACACAAAATTACACAGAGAACACAAACAGCAATCAAAATGATGGCAACCAATACCATCTTTCAATAATAACTTTAAATATCAATGGACTGAACTCCCCAGTCAAAAGACACAGCCTAAATGAATGGATTAAGAAATAAATGCTGGCCAGGCAAGGTGGTGCACGCTTTTAATCCCAGCACTCAGGAGGCAGAGGCAGGCGGATCTCTGTGAGTTCAAGGCCAGCCTGGTCTACATAGTGAGTTCTAGGACAGCTGGGGCTACAGGGAGACCCTGTCTCAAAAAGACCAATAAGAAACAAAATCCATCTCTTTGCTGTCTGCAAGAAACCCATCTCACCTTCAACGACAGGCACTACCTTAAGGTAAAAGGATGGAAAAGAATATTCCAAGCAAATGCCACTAAGAAACAAGCAGGGGTTGCAATACTAATATCTGACAAAATAGTCTTCAAAGTAAAACTAATCAGAAGAGATAAGGCGGGTCACTTCATTCTGATCAAAGGAACAGTTAACTAAGAAAATATTACAATCCTTAACATATATGCACCAAATTCTGGTGCACCCAAATTCCTAAAAACAACGCTACAGGACTTTAAGACACAGATTAACCCCAGCTCAGTAACAGTAGGGGACTTCAATACCCCACTGTCTCCATTAGACAGGGCAACTGGACAAAATAATAAACAGAGAGACCTCTGAATTAAATGATATCATACATCTTTCGGATATTAGAAAAAAAATCCTTAAATTGATATGGAAGCACAAAAGACACCGGATAGCTAAAGCAACACTGAGCAAAAAGAAGAACAATGCTGGGGGCATTACTATACCAGATCTCAAAGTATACTACAGAGCCATAGTCATAAAAACAGCATGGTACTGGTCTAAAAATAGACACATAGATCAATGGAACATCATTGAAGATACATGCAATTTCAGCCACCTTATATTTGACAAAGGTGCCAAGAACACACAGTGGAGGAAAGACAGCATCTTCAGCAAATGGTGCTGGCAAAACCAGATCCCCACCTGTAGAAGAATGAAACTAGATCCTTATCTTTCACCTTGCACAAAAGTCAACTTGAAATGGATCAAAGACCTCAAAGTGAAACTGGAAACCCTGAAACTATTAGAAGAAAATATTGGCAGTAACTTACAGGATATAGGTGTAGAAAAGGATTTTCTAAATCAGACAGAAGTTGCTCAGGAACGAAGGTCAGCAATCAACAAGTGGGACCTCATTAAACTAAAAAGCTCTGTACAGCAAAAGAAATAATCAAAAAAGTGAAGAAAAAACCCACAGAATGGGAAAAAATCTTCACCAGTGACACATCTGACAGGGGTTTAACATCCAGAATATATAAAGAACTCAAAAAGCAAAGAATGGAGAAATCTAATGACCCAATTAAAAGATGGGCTAAAGATCTAAACAGAGAATTCTCAAAGGAAGAAATAAAGATGGTTATGAAACATCCATCTCAAAAAGTGTTCAACATCGTTAGTAATTAGGGAAATGCAAATTAAAACCACCCTAGGGTATCACCTTACCCCAATCAGACTGACTGGAATCAAGAGAACAAATGATACCAAATGCTGGCGAGG